ATCTGGGTCTCTCACATGGGTAGCAGGAATCCAATTTCTTGGATTGTCTGCTTCCTCTTAGGGGCATTAGTGGAAGCTGGGTCAGAAGTAGAGATGGAACTGCATCCCAGGGGCTCTGATAGGGGATTCAGGCATCCCAAGTAGGGACTTAACCTGTTACATCATAACTCCTATCTATTTTATTTATTTAGGTATTCTCTCCTTAGTTAATCTAATTTTGTTTATCTTTTCAAAGAGGGGCTCTTTATTTTGTTGATTTTTTAAACTTTCCATTTCATTTTTTACTGCCTTGAGTTTTATCTTTTATTTCCTTCTAATTTTAGATTTGGTTTGTTCCTGGTTTTCCATTTCTTTGAGGAAATAGATATAATATAGTGATAAGCTATTTATTGATATTTTATGCTTTTTTGATGCAGATATTGATTACTATGACCTTCCTTCTTAGTACTGGTTTTTCTATATCTCATAGGTTTTGGTATGTTATATTTCTATATTTATTAATTTCAGAAAAAAATTTAAATTTTCTTCTTAATTTCTTTGTTGATCTGATGGTTTTTCAGGGATAAATTATTTAATTGTTATGCATGTATGTGATTCCAAAGTTTTTCTTGTTACTGATTTCTAGGTCTGTTGCATGTGGTCAGAAAAGATACTTGATTTGATTCATATTTCTAAAAATTTGTTTAGACTTGTTGTGTGTATGTGTATGCTGCAGTCGTTGGATGAAATGTTCTGTAGATATCTGCCTGTTAGTTTCAGTTTATCTAGGGTGCAGTTTAACTCTGCTATGTCTTTGCTGATTTCTGTCTATGTGATCTGTCCATTTCTGAATGTGAGGTGTTAACAGTCATACTATGATTGTATTGAGTCTATTTCTCCCTTTAGGGTTATTAATATTTGCTTTATGTATCCAGGTGCTCCAGTATTGAGTTTATCTATTTATCTATCTATCCATCTATCTATCTTATCTATCTATCTATCTTTATACATGCACATACACAATAGTAATATCCCTTGCTTGATTGAATGTTTCATCATAATGTAATAACCACCCTTGTCTCTTTTTACTGATTTTGATCTAGAATCTATTTTCTATGATATGAATATGGCTGCCCTTGCTTTTTCTGGGGTTTCTTTTGCTTGGAATATCCTACCGCTTCCTTCACTTTAAGTCTGTGAATGTCCTTAGATGTGAAGTAAACTTGTAAGCAGCATAAAGTTTGGTCTTTTTTAAAAAAGATTTATTTTTTCACTCAGTTTTTTTAAACATAAGGTATATTTTTATTTTTATTTATTTATTTACTTATCAAAAGCAAAAAGACCCTAGTTTAGTGTGAATATAGACAATGGCCATAAACAATAATTGAAATGAAAAATGACCATTTCACCCATATACACTAAATTTTTAAGTAATCACAGATCATTAAAACTATAGTAGTATAACTCTTCAGTGGTTTCACAAAGGTATAAAACAAGGTTTTACAAAACTATATTTATAGCAATACTGACATAGACATTTCTTCTTTTGCTGTTTGTTCGTTTAAATTTGAGCTTCCTCATATAAGGGAGCGCATGTGGTATTTGTCTTTCTGGGTTCAGCTATTTCACTCAACATGATGTCCTCCAATTGCATCCATTTTGCTGCAAATGATAGAATTTCATTCTTTTTTTATAGCTGAATAATATTCCATTGTATATACATTTTCTTTACCCATTGATCTGATGATGGACACCTTTGATATGTCCAAATTTTGGCTGTTGTGAACAGTTACTATGAACATGTTGGTACAGGTACCACATTGACATACTATGTTCAAGTCTTTTGGGTATATACCAGTAGTGGGATTGCTGGGTCTTATGGCAAGTCTCTTTCTAATTTTTTTTAAAGATTTATTTATTTGAAATACAGAGTTAGAGAGAGAGAGGTAGAGACAGAGAGAGAGGTCTTCCATCTGCTGGTTCGCTTCCTAGATGGCCGCAATGGCTGGAGTTGTGCCGATTTGAAGCCAGGAACCAGGACCCAGGAGCTTCTTCTGGGTCTCCCACATGGGTGCAGGGTCCCAAGGACTTGGGCCATCTTCTACTGCTATCCCAGGCCATAGAAGAGAGCTGGATTGGAAGAGGAGCAGCCGGAACTAGAACCGGCACCCATATGGGATGCCAACGCTTCAGGCCATGGCTTTAACCCAATGCACCACAGCGCTGGCCCCCTTTCTAGTTCTCAAAGAAATCTTCACAGTTTTCCACAGAGGCTGCACTAAGTAAGTATTCCCCTTTGTCAACATCCTCCTCTGCATTTGTTACTCTCTGTTTTGGATTTTAGCCATTCTTACAGGTGTGAGGTGATATCTCACTGTGATTTTGATTTGCATTTCCCTGTTGGCTAGTGATTTTGAGCATTTTTTCACATATTTGTTGGCCAGTTGTATTTCCTCTTTGCAGAATTGTCTGAAATCTTTTGCCCATTTCTCAACTGGATTGATTATTTTTTTGTTGTTGAGTTTTTAAAGTTGCTGATATATTCAGGATATTAATCCTTTGTCAGATAGTTGGCTTGAAAATATCTCAAAAATCCAAGAATTCTTCCTCTAAACCGGTATCTTGGAGTGTTTCCCTTTCGTTTTCTTTTAGTACTTTCGTAATCTCAGGTCTTAAATTTAAGTCTTGGTCCATCTTGAGAGTGTTTTTTGTATATGGTGAGAAGTATGGATCTGATTTCATTCTTCTATATATATAAATCCAATTTTTCCAGCACCATTTATTGAAAAGACTATCCTTACTCAGCTGTATGGTCTGAGCACTTTTGTCAAAAATCCGTATATATGTGGATTAATTTCTGGGCTCTCTATTCTGTTCCATTCATGTATGAAATGGTTTTTATGCAAGTACCATGCTTTTTTTTTTAAGATTTATTTATTTATTTGAGAGATAAAGTTACAGACAAAGAGAGGGAGAGACAAAGGTCTTCCATCCACTGGTTCACTCCCAAAATGGCCCCAACGGCCAGAGATGAGCTGATCTGAAGCCAGGAGCCAGGAGCTTCTTCTGGGTCTCCCACAGGGGTGCAGGGGCCCAAGCACTTGCGCCATCTTCCACTGCTTTCCTAGGTCATAGCAGAGAGCTGGATTGGAAGAGCAGCAGCCTGGACACTTATATGAGATGCTGGCACTGAAGGCAGAGACTTAGCCTACTATGCCACAGTTCCGACCCCCATGCTGTTTTAATGACTATAGCATTGTAGTACGCTTTGAAGTCAGGTATTTGATGCCTCTGGCCTGCTTTCTCTTGTTCAGGAGGACTTTGGCTATTCTGGTCTTTTGTGATTCCATATGAATTTTAGGGTTGCTTTTTCTAATTCTGCAAAGAAAGTCATTGGTATTTTGATAGGAATTACATTGAATCTGTAGATTGCTTTAGATAGTATAGACATTTTAATGATATTCTCTGATCAATGAGCAAGGAATATCTTTCTAATTTTTTGTGTCCTTGATGATTTCTTTCATCAATGTTTGTTAATTTTCATTGTAGAGATCTTTTACTTCTTTCATTAAATTTATTCCTAAATATTTTATTTTTTGGTGGCTATTGTGAATGGGATTTCTTTCTTGATTTCTCTTTCTGTGAGTTCATCATTAGCATACAAAAAAGCTACGTTTTTTTCTTTTGTTTGTTTTATAACCTGCAACTTTACTGAATTGGTTTATCAATTCGAACAGGTTTTTGGTGGAGTGTTTGGGTTTTTCCATGTGCAATATCATGTCAACTATAAACATGGATAATTTGACTTCCTCTTTTCCATTTTTGACACCCTTTATTTCTTTCTCCTCCCTAACTGCTCTTGCTAAAATTTCCAGTACTATATTTAATGAGAGTGACAAAAGTGGACATCGTTGTCCTAGATCTGTTGGGAAATCCTTTCAGCTTTTCTCCATTTAGTTTGATATTGGCTGTTGGTTTGTCATATATAGTCATTGCAATTTTGAAGAACGTACCTTTATCTAATTTGTGGAGGGTTTTTTCATGAAGGGGTGTTGAATCTTACTAAATACTTTCTCTGCATCTATTGAGATGACCATG